ATATTATTAGTTGTCCAGCTAATTTCTTTCTATTTTTAGTAGAGACAGGGGTCTTGCTCTTGCTGGAGCTGGTCTCGAACTCCAGAGCTCAAATCACCCACCCTCCCGAGCCTTCCAGGCATGAGCCACCTCGCCTGGCCAAGAGACTCCCAGTTCTTAAAACTTTTTTTTGACTCTCATGCAAGTCTAAGTGACTTACTGTTTCTCAAATGGTCCTGTTATATTTTCTCTTCTGGATTTTTTTTAATAGTATTTTTCTTGTGCCTGAAATATTCTCTGCTTTTATTTAAGTCTTACCATCCCATCAAGCCACAAAACATATGGGATCCTAAGGCCTTTGTGAATTGCCGTGGTTCTCTGTCTGAACTCCTATAGCACACAGCCATTCACTCATCTGGCATCTAACAAACGCCAACTTCGATCACTTATCCCTTTATGCTTACATTGTCTTACCGTTTGAGATTTTCTTTCACCTGGTGTCAAGCACCAGGGTCTCACAACCAGAAATCTTACTATATTTGATCTGATAAAAATGAAATTTTTTTTTTTTTTTGAGACAGAGTCTCACCCTCTTGCCTGGGGCGAGTGCCGTGGCGTCAGCCTAGCTCACAGCAACCTCAAATTCCTGGGCTCAAGCAATCCTACTGTCTCAGCCTCCCGAGTAGCTGGGACCACAGGCATGCGCCACCATGCCCGGCTAATTTTTTCTACATATATTTTTAGCTGTCCAGTTAATTTCTTTCCATTTTTTGGTAGAGACGGGGTTTTGCTCTTGCTCAGGCTGGTCTCGAACTCCTGAGCTCGGAACGATCCATCCGCCTCGGCCTCGGCCTCGGCCTCGGCCTCCCAGAGTGCTAGGATTACAGGCGTGAGCTACCGCGCCCGGCCCCAATGAAGCTGTTTTTTAAAAAGCCACATTAAATTCCTGAAGTTGATCATGTTGGCAATTAAATTAAATTAATTGAATGACCACTATGTTTAAGGAAGGTTTCTTTCTAGTAGGCTGGGGCATACAAGAAGGGGAGGACATAATTTTATAAAAAAGTTCTTATTCACAAAGAACTAATCACTTCCTGGCCAGAGAAGCTGTTCTTTGCAGTGACTCTGCTTTGTGGGTTGAGCCACTTCAATTCTTCATGTCCTCATTAATTTCTGAGACTGCATCAAAACCGCTTGCCACAACTATGTGAGCAAGTAGGTGAGTCTTTCAGAATTGAGCGCATAATATATAAATATATATTTTTAATAGTAATGAGCGTATAGCTTATATATAAAGAAACCCAAACATTCTAAAAGCATGCTGTCTTTTACCACCACCCTCTCCCTCCCCGACTGTCAACGGTAACCACTGTCTTATTTCTCCAACTAGAACACTTGCATGCACCGGTGTATAAGCCTGTATTCCGTGCTATTTTTAAATCGTAAAAAAACACGTCTTAAAATAACTCATTTGTATACAACTCCAGCAGCTGGAGTGGGCTTAACATATCACACAGCTGTTACTTTTGGTTTCTTTTTGGTAGCAGGGACACTTAGATTCTCACTTGTCGGCAGTCTCCAACCCGATCGTGTGGTGTAAATACATAAAATACAAAAACAGCACAACGACTGAAGGAGTGTCCCCAGCGTCGCGCGCCACAGAGGCGGGCGCCGCGCAGAGCCGAGCCCCACCCCGGGCAGCTGGGAGCCCAGGTCCCCCACCCACCTGGCGACCGGCCGAACACAACGGCGCGCGCCAGGGTCGCCCACCCTCCGCCCTTCGCTGAGGCGGCGCGGCTGAGCCCCGTCCCCAATTGGCGGAGGCGGCGCGGCCGGCGCGTGCGTGCGTGCGCGTAAACGCCCGAATGGGCCGCGGCGCCCCGCGCGCTCCCTCCGGGCGGTAGGGGGCGCGCACCGTGGAACCTCGGCGAGGTCGGCTCCTTGCGGGGTCTGTGCGGCCTGTGTGACTAGAAAGAAGATGGAGCCAAGAGCCGAGCCTGAGGGGCGGCTCTGACCTTTCTGACCGAGGTCCTGCGCCCTTTCGCCGCCAGGAGCCTCCTTCCTCTCCGGACTAGTGCGTTCGAGCTCCCCAGTGGCCTGGGCCCCGAGAGTGGAAATGGTCGCCGAGGCCCAGGGCGTGGGGCTTCCGCGCGGCCCGTGAAGGGAACTGGGGAACCTCAAGGGACCCCCACAACTCCAGGCGCGAAAACCCCCGCATGGTGAGGAGCAGGTATCGGCCCAATGGGAGTGGGTCAGTCCTGGGTCTGGGCTGTGACTTGGGTCCCCTCTCTCGCTCTGGTCTCCAGCCTCTTCCCCGCACACAGCCTTTGTGTTATTCGTGGTGGGGGGCGCAGGGCACGTGGCCTTGCGTAGGTTTTGTTGGAAGGAGGCGAGGTTGTCGCCGCGGGGGAGGAGGGCGGGGTTTAGAGCTGGCGCTCCGGGCGGGCGGGGGTCTCTCCCGGAGCCCGGGGTAAAGGTCACGTGGGCGGGGGGCTGCGGAGCTACTGGGCTCCTCCGCACCCGGGTTCGGAACGATCACAGGTGCCGGTGCGGTTGCCAGCCTGAGCCGGGCGATGAGTCTGGGCGAGATTGGGCTGGTTGCATGGGCAAGTTGACTCAGCTTTTCCTCTTGGGCTGGTCAAGTTCGGACACGTTCCAGTCCGTAGTAAAAGGAGCTAAGCCCTGACTTGTCTCCAGCTGGGGCTATTTAAACCATGCCTCTTCCCAGCTGTATTCACTGGCCATTAGGGGTAGACACCTGTGGTCACAGACCTGCAGCACTTTTTCTATACCGATCCAGGTAAGGACCGACTTACTTACAGCTTTAGTTTTAAGAAAGGCAGTATTTATTTCCTTTATATACGGTGTCTTTTTCACAGATGTTTCGTTATTTCCAGTTTTTATCCTGTGTTTATTTCCTACTTGTAGGCAAATGTGCAATACCAACATGTCTGTATCTACTGATGTAGCCACCTCACAGATTCCAGCTTCGGAACAAGAGACCCTGGTTGGTATTTTTGTCTCGTGTAACTTTTAAAAATGTTTTATGAGGTGATCAGCTAAATTTCGTGCACCCTAATTGTAGCATGGCTCTTGAAATGAAATTGTATGTACATAGCTTAAACTCTGCTATCTCAGGCATAACTGTGGAGTAAAAAAATGAACTGTAAGAATGGGTATTTTCTTAGCCCTTTACCGCAGGGGCTATAAAAATGAGTTCCATTACATTCTTAAGCATGGGTGCTGATGTTATGTTTGTTATGTGATTGATTTTTTTTTTTTTCTATTTTGACCTGTCAGTATTTAATTTTTTAAATGGTTTCTAAAAGTCACGAAAATAGCGCTTGTAAAGATTTTTGGCATTATAGAAATATATAAAGTAAAAAATGAAAATTTCAGTCTTTCCATCATGTTTCCTTTTAGGGTTTTTCTGTGTACATACCCACATATGTTCACATGTAAATTTAAATATGTGTTATTGTTCGTTCTAAAACAGGGTTAAACTAGAGATATTCTACAACTTGCATCCTTTTCAATAAATAAAATCTACAGAATCTTTTTAGTGGGTGTATAGTATTCCATAGCACAGCTATACCATTTTTAATTATTTGTGCCTTTACTAATAGATTTTTTAAAAATTGCCTCCTGTTTTTGAGTATTAGAAATAGTGCTGCTTTGTACATGCATCTTAACACAAGTGTTATCTGTTTTGGTTAAGAAAGATTTTATAGAATTAGAACTCCTGTATCCCAAATTTTACCTATATTTGATTGCTACTGGTAACTTTCTTACCAAAACGTTTTAACAGGCTTCACTCCTACCACCACTGAATATTACCAATCTTTAATTATTATTATATTTTTGCCTTTTTGGGGAGTAAAAGGTACTGTGCCATTTAGATTAGTATTTTCCTAGTCTCTTGGTGAGGCTGGGCATCTTTCCATTTTGTGAAATCAGTTGTTTCGTCTGGGGTTTGCCTGGTCTTATCTGTCCATTTTTCTTTTAGGTTTTTTGTGTTTTTCTTAATTGGAGTAGTTCTCTGTATTTTAAGTGCATATAACTAACTCTGGGTGTTTACTAATGTTTCATTTAACTTTATGTTGTCTTTTCCCTGTTGAGAACATTTTTATGAAGTCAAATTTGTAGACTTTTGTTGGCTTTTGAATTTCATATTGTGCTTTGGAAGAACTCTCCCTAAGGTCTTGCAAATATATTCCTATATTTTATTCTAGTATTTTTAATTTTTACATCCACATCTTCACCTGAAATTTATCTTTTTGTTCTTAAATGTGAGATCTTGAATGGTATTGTCTTTTATAATTATTTTCTTATTGATATATATATTTTTAAGTCAGTAAAAAACTGATGACTTTCCATTGTGTATTTTTACTTTGAGTTATTTTATGTAATTTGTAGTTAATACACCATATATAAAAATTTAGAAAAAAAGTAATTTTTTAATCTTTTCTGAGAGGGTTCATTCTTCAGCCTAAAAGGACATGTGTAAGCATATGTTTAAAAAGTGTGTGATCAGAACAATTAATACTTCAATTCTACATTTATTATGTATTTTAAGTTTTTCAATTATTGAATAATATTTTTCTGTTGATTAGCTGGAAACAGGCCATTTTTAAATGCCTGGTTTTGAGATCTCCCAAATGCTGTCAGATTTAAAAGTTAGATACAAGACAGGGACATATCGAGAGGTACAGAGCCACCAGTCTGTATGGGGTGGCAAGCTGTAAAGATACTCGAGTTTTGCAGATTTTGCTTCAGCAACAGGAAGGGAGAAAGGGCATAAGCACATTACATTCCTCCCCCTATGTGGGTTATTTTCTCAATACCACTTATAAAACCTTTAGATCAGGGTCAGTAACCTATGGGCCAAATTTGGCTTGCCACCTGTTTTTGTAAATAAAATCTTCCTGGTTTACATAGTATCTATACTTCAGAGTTTGGTAGACCGTCTGGCATGAAAAGCTTAAAACATTTACTCTCTGGTTCTTAACAGAAAAAAATGACTCCTAATCTAGTTGGCAGGCTTTTTGGAATATAGGTCATATGTCTCATTTGTAATTTTTTTTTTTTTTTTTTGCAGTACCCAGCACTGTCAGATGCATAGTAGAAGCTCAATAAATGTCAAGTAGTTTTTTGAAATGTAGACCCACTAAGAGACAGTGTGATATAGTAGGAAGAAAATGCTGAGTTGTAGTTGACGGACATGAGTTGCTGTCTCAGATCTGCTCTCAATTACCCTTGCCAGCTTGTGTTAGTGGTTTTAAGTTCTCTAGCCTTCAAGAACCTAATCTGTAGAAAGTGAAGATTGGGAACAGGACCCACCCTAAAGATGTATTCTTTTCTATTGGATTCTCTAAGTTAGCTTGCAATAAGCTCACTGGATCAATATAGTAAATTCGTTGGATCTCAACAATTTATGGTTGTTTGTAAGGCATTAAGCACATGATAAAAATAGCTGGAGGAAAAAATAATCTTCACTATCTTGGGATGGGTACCGTTTATGATCTCAACTAATGATACTTGATAATTCTGTGATATTTGCATAATAATTGATCCTCCCCAGAATTTTTTTCTAAACCCTCTTGACTGTCTATGGTATTCAGTTTACGTAGCCTAACCATTACACTTAGTAAAAACATTATAACCTATTTTTTGAGGTCTAACCTTGTGAAATTGTTAAACATAGTATCTGCTACCTTTATTGAACATCTTTATGGGCATGTTTGCTGCAGGGCTTATAGTTCTGGAATAATTTGGGCAGTGTAATAGCAGCTCTTTTTTTCTTTATAGGTTAGACCAAAGCCATTGCTTATGAAGTTGTTAAAATCTGTTGGTGCACAGAAAGACACTTACACCATGAAAGAGGTAAGCTGAACTAAGAGAAAGAGATAAACTAGTCTCTTACTAATTGTGTATAGCCATACTTACAGTTTTCAAGACCTTGGGGAAAAAATTGGCTGCATAGAGGAATTTTTCATTAAGCAGCAACTAATTAAATTTTGTGGTTATTTGCACTATATTTTGAACCTGAAAATTCTAATTATATGTCTAGTTTCATTTCTCAGCTAGGAACTCAGACAAAGGGAAGCCCTGTATGCATTCTTGACCCTTTTATGCTGTGAACCCATTTGGCATACTGGTAAAAGTCTTCTCAGACTGGTAACTCCTTCTCAAATCTTGTTTTTAAATGTATGAAGTAAAATTTACAGGATTACAAAGGAAACTTATGTTTAAATATAGTTATCAAAAATAATGAACAAGTTTGTGATACATGTGCTTTTTTTATTAACACATTAAATACTAAGATTTAGGAACAGATCTAATAAATATAATTTTGATGTAGTGAGAAGTATAAGTAATATTTTGAGATGTTTGCTGTGTGCATAGTATGATATGAAAACACTTGTGGTTTTTATTGATGATTAAATCAGAGGTATTGCAAATAGTATTGATTTGTTGCCTACATTTATGATTGAAGAAAAAGCTAAATTTCAGCTAGAAGTTAGTGAAAATAAAGATAGAAAAAAATTTTTTCCCATCCAAATTAATGGACCCCCTAAATTCTATCCAAGGACTTCTTGGGCATCCCTGGATCCCAGGTTAAGAACTTCTGCACTAGAGATACATGAGTACAGTATACTGATCTTTCTGGGATAGAGGTGAGCTGATTCATGAACATATGTTCTATTTAATGGATACACATTTCAATGCATTCTCTAGCTTTCAATTTGTGTACAAAACATGATTTTCAGTGAGAGATTGAGCCATCCTGGGCAATATTTCAGTGTGAATGAAATGTGCCTGTTCCCCATCTGTACTGCTTACTTTATGGGGCTCAGATTACTTAAAACATTAAAGTTTCTCTGTCACAACAGAATAGTGGGGCAGGAAGAGATTCCAGACCCTTTTCCTTTTCAGCACTTTTACAAACTTCCTTGAGGGATCTTTGGTAGAAGTAATCTAGGTTCTCTTTCTTCTTCCCTTCCCCACTGCCCGTCAACCATCTCTCCAATTCATAGTCACATAGGAATATTCCTTTAAGACTGACATTCTTAGTGCTTTCAGGGAAGTGCCAGTTAAATGGTATTTTTAGGGCTGTTAATTTGGAATTGACCTTATTATATAATCAGTTAAGGAAACAGAGTATGGATTTGGCAGTAGGTAGAAATGAGAAAATTGATCAAGACCATCATAAAGACTTGGAATGTATATTTTAAACTGTGTAACTGTAATATATAAATTGTCTAATGCTGTTTTCAGTTATAGGCTCTTTGTTCTGGGGCATATATGGGAAAGTGGGGAGAGCTAATATGGGGTAGTAGAAAGAGCATTGGACTAGGAGTCAAAGTACTGGGGGTCAGTTTCCCCATTTCTGATACAGTGATAACAGTTCCGTGAGATATCAGAAGGATGAGATAGTATTTTTTAAAAATTTTTTGATGATTGTGGGTACATGATAGTTATATTTTTTGTGGGGTACATGTGATGTTTTGATATAGGCATACAAAATAAATAAGGGTAATTGGGGTATCATCACCTCATGCATTTAATAATTTCTTTGTGTTAGGAACATAAGTATACCCTAACTTATTGTTGATTATAGTCACTTTGTTATGCTATCAAATATGGTTTATTCTATCTAACTATCTAACTGTATTTTTGCATTCATTAACCATCCCACTTTATCCCTGCTACCCTTCCCAGCCTCTGGTAACTGTCATTCTACTCTCTGTCTCAATGAGATTAATTATTCTTAATATTTAGCTCCCACATATGAGTGAGAACATGTGAGATTTGTCTTTCTGTGCTTGGCTGATTTCACATAACATAATGTTCCCCAGTTCCATCCATGTTTCAGATGGCAGGATTTCATTATTTTTTGTGGCTATGTAATATTCCATTGTGTATATATACCGCAGTTTCTTTATCCATTCATCCATTGATGGACAGTTAGGTTGATTCCCTGTCTTGGCTATTGTGAATAGTGTTGCAATAAACATGGGAGTACAGATACCTTTTCCATATACTGAGTTCCCATACTTTGGATATATACCCAGCAGTGGGATTGCTGGTTTATATGGTAGTTCTATTTTCAGTTTTTTTGAGGAACCTCCATAGTGTTTTCCGTAGTGGTTGCACTAATTTACATTCCCACCAACAGTGTGTGAGGGTTTTCCTTTTTCCATATCCTTGCCAGCATTCATTTTTGCCTGTCTTTTTGATAAAAGCCATTTTAACTGGGGTGAGGTGATATCTTACTGTAGTTTTAATTTGCATTTCTCTGACTAATGATGTCGAGCATTTTTTCATGCACCCGTTGGCCATTTGTATGTCTTCTTTTGAGAAATGTCTATTCAGATCCTTTGCCCATTTTTTAAATTGGATCATTTGATTTTGTTCCCATTGTTATTGGCGCTCCTTATATACTCTAGTTACTAATCCCTTGTCAGATGGGTAGCTTGCAAATATTTTCTCCTGTGAGTTGTTTCTTCACTTTGTTGATTGTTTCCTTTGCTGTGCAGAAGCTTTTTA